CACACTCAGTAATAGATTCCAGTAACTTAGAGAGTTGCCATAGTGATAAAAAAGGGAACAGAATCTGCTTGTCTTTCTGGGATAGCAGAATTATTAAATTAAATGCATCTTTTCCATTAAAGGAGAGTAACATCATGTTTCTGAGAAACTGTTTTAGAGTAGAAATAATGTGTTTAAGCAGGTGTCCTGCATTAATCATGTTACTACTTCAGGCACTTCAAGCCTTGACGTGCGGTTCTGTGCTGGCGTGGTTTATAGCACCCCTGCATCTCCCCCATTGCAACTGATGGAACAGCTGCATAGAAAACACCTTGCTTGTGAAAAAGTCGGCTTTACTCCATCAGAAGTCATTGCAGTTGTGACCACAAAGAACCGGGCATGAAGCAAGAGTTGCACAAAATTGTAGCACAGAAACACGAGTATAAAATGTGGGTTGCCACAGGATGAGGAGGGATGAAAGGAGCCGCCTTGCGATGAAGGAGTACAGAGAACACAGCCTGCAGAAAATGGTGGTTGCGTCAGGTAGAGAAGAAAGGAGATGAACTGACAGTTGAATGAACTGATAGAGAAGACAACAGGGGAGGGAATATCCTTAAGCTTAGAACAAAATGGGAGTGAACTGCAGCATAACCTAGGTTTTTGGAGAGAAGCTTTGTGGTGTTGTAATGAAAATGCACCAGCTGCCATGCTGATATGTTGAAGCTTGAGTAGCCCTGTAATACACATCCATGCCCATTCATTGCAGGTGGAAAAAGAAACAACTCACACTGGATTGCCTTTTTCTTTTGTTGCTTTCAGGAAAGTAAATTTAACAAACTTTAAGCAAAATAAAAGTCTTTGTGATGGCTCAGAGTCCCACACGAAAATGACCATTCTTATCAGGCTGCTAACTCCCATGTTCTTGCTGGTTTATCTTCTTTCATGACTTGTAATTACCTAGTAATCTTCCCCTGAACTACCTAATTTGGGATCAGAGTTCTGTTTCAGAAATATAAAAACAAAGGTCTTCTGAGTATCTGCCTGCCCCCTCATTTCACATAGGAAAAAACCTGGGGGCAGAGGCAGGAGCCGCAGTGTTTGACCCTTCTGACTCGTTTGCTTCAGAGCTGCTGGTTTCAGTTTGCAGAATGAATAAGCAGTGTAAAATCTTCACTACGTATCGGCTCAATCATCTGATCATATTTGCCAGTTGTTGTTTGAGATTTCAATTAGCAGTGGTTTAGATAAAGTTTTACGGAAGGTCACCTGATCTCAGTGTTCAGATAATTAACCAGGAAATGTCAGTTAATGCCTTATGCACTTGGATATCTTTCAGTGTTTGATATGTGGGGGATCTGCCTGATTCTTCATTTTCTTCCACCTCCTATTTGTTGCCTTCCCGACGGTGAGGAGCTGACAGTGGTTTGCTTTGCTGGAGTCCCTACCTGACTGCGTTTGCTGCTGGAATAAATGCCGAACTGCTCCTCACGTTACCAGTAACAGCTCTGAAACACTGTTGATCTTAATGCTGTTTGGCAGCAGGTTGTTCTGCCACTAAAACTCCTTGTCAATCCCAGCCTTGGTTGAAAACTGTTATAAATAGATGAGAGTTCATTAGAGCAGGTCTTGCATTGTGTTGTGCACTTCTCCTATCTCTGGAAATCACAGTCCTGTTAGTAAGATTAACTCCTCTGAGGCAAAACTGAGTTTAAAAAAACCTGAAACTATGAATATCTATGAACTTTAATAAACTTGTCTTGTGTATGGTCCCTCCTGATTTTTGTCTCTATTTTTACTTCAGGGATTGCCACATAAGAAAGATAGGTCTTCCACCGTTTCAGATTTTTTTTTTAAGATGGACTTCAAACAAAAAAAAGTCATTGGCAGTTTGTTTCAGTGGCAGTAATTTACAAAAATGAAGTGTAGGTTAAAAGGGCATGTCTAATGTTTTACAATGTTATCAAACTATGCTATTTTTTTTTTAAAGTTGTAGACTGGTGTAACTCTTTAGCCTTATGTTCCTTTCACTTATTGAAGCACAGCTTTCGAAATTGAAATACCATGTGGCCAAGAGCAGGTTTAAAAAAAAAAAACAAGGTTTCAAATGGAAGCTGCTCTGCTTCCAGCTTGATTTCAAAGAACAGCAAGGCATTTCTTAAAATTTCAGTCAAGTATCTATTACTTAATGACTACCTAGAAAAGGAAGAATTATCCTCATCACATTAAGCACTCAGTTCGGAAGACTTGAAAGGTTGCTTTGTTGTTGTACTGAGTTGTGATATGTTTAATAACAAGATGTGCTGAAAAGGAAATATTAAAATATGGTAAACCAACCATGTGGTACCTGTTAGGATTGTAGTGCCTTGGTGCTTTGGGGATGTTCTAATGGTTTAGAGTTTTAACAAACTTAAAATGAAACTTTCTGTTCTTTGTCTTTTGAGACTGAAATGTTTGTAATATATTTCCTAAAAGTCTATTTTTAAACATTTTTCCTCATAATGAAGTCAGATGAACACCTCTCTGTTTCTTTTGGAGCAAGAACTTAAATTTGGTGTAAAATTTACTTAGTGTTCTCACTGCCTCAAGAAAATCTCTCTTCTGCTTTTTGAAAATTCAGCTGTGTTTAAGATTCTGCCAGAGGCTTATAACATTACGCTGCACAAGCTCAGCATGTCTGTGTTAGGCAACTTCGTTGTCTGCACTGAGTCCTTCCCATCTCTTCCCTGGTGGCTGAATGTACTCCAGCCTTAAGCTACAAGGTCAAAGAAGGACTTTGCTTGCGCTGTCTCCTGCAGGCTGGTTTGGCCCAGGTAGGGCCATGGAAGTAGTGGAAATAGGTTCATGTGTATGCAGCGTTTCTCTCTCCCAGTTCGAGCTCACCACTGTGCTTTCACAGTGGTGGTGATGGTGGCCATAGGGCTCCTAGGAAGTTGTAGCATGGTGGTGGTTGCCAGAATAGTCAATATATTACTCAATTTAAAAAAACTCCACCAAACCAGCAAGCAAGTTCAAAGACGACTAGAAGAGTCAAGTCCTTCTGCAGACAAATGAAGTTTGTAGCTGGGGATTTATACACAAGGGGAAACTGAATAACAGCCAAACAGCTAATGTTCCTATTTCTGGCCTCTGAAGGGTTTAAATAGTTGGTCATAAGCTACTTTCTCAGAATCTCGCTTTTGGTTTCAGAAATTTTCCTTGCTGTTAATCTGATAGACCATCATACTATTAATGAATAGCTGTAGATACCAGATGATCCTTTCTCGTACCTTGTCTGAAATAGTGGGTTAAAATGAGTGGGTAAGTTTATTAAATACTTCGCTATTAGTTCTTCAGAGAAAAGCTGCCAAAATCCGTGTTGTAATAAATAATAATTTAAAAAAACTACTTTCTTTGAACATACAGTCCTACAAAACAAACACAGAAAACTAAATTCTTGATATTTGTGCAATGTGATAGTAGTCAATACCACTTTTCTTTAAAAGCAGTCTTTATTACTAAGCTTTTGTTGCTGTTAAGCAATTGAGGTTTTTCGGTCTTACATGCTATTTGAATTATTCAGCTTTACTCTGGAACACAGCACATACACAACAACCTCTTACATTGCCAAGTAACAGCTTGGGGGGGGGGTGGTGTTAATGTGTAGATAGTGGGTCAGATTCTTTTGTAAAGATACAACATTTTGTACAGTGGGAAAAGGCCTGAATCTGGCAACAGTCACTCTGCAGGATGCAGGTTAAGGGAGTATTTTCTAATGTAAAGCTACTTCAAGAGCGGCTGGGCCAGCTGTCTGAAACCCAAGTGTACAAAGTACACTGACAAAGCGGACCAGGCACAGTCAAATTGTGTTTATTGGACTCTGCCCCAACATAATTTACTGCTCTTAACCAGTGCTTCATCAACTGGTTGTTCAGTCCAATTCCTGTAAGCATGAAAAAGCAACCACTGAGCAATTCCTTGTTATGAGGCTGTTACACTGATAAGCTGATGTGCGCAGTCCCTCTTCCAGCCACAGGAATAGTCCTCCTGAATCCCTGCTGGTAAGGGGAAGTGAAAAGACCAGGACCAAGGAAGACCAGTGCGTTGTGTAAGGAAGGGATGGAGAGGTCAAAGGAAGGGGAAAATACGATTTAATATTTCAAATAAAGACTCGGTCAGTAGTTGGATTTGTATTTAAGACATTCTGCTAGGTGATAAAGTCATCTAGAAATCCGGGGGGGAGGGGAATAATCTGTTGACTTATTTCCTCCTTTATTTGGAAGGAGGAGGGAGGGACCTAGTCTTAGTCATCCTCTTTGAAAGAATTAAATTCCTGCTAAAATATCTTTTCAAGACCTTTTGTCCAGTGTAATATTAAATGGTTCAAGTAATAAGAGATTTTCACCGCTTCTCTTGGGAGGCTGCTCTTCAGGCAAAATGGCTCTTTGGGTGGACAGTGTTCTCTTTACTCATTTGGGGGGAGTTGTATTTCTGCTTGCTATTCTTAAAGAGTTTTGGGGGTGTCATTTGTCAAGGATGTCAGCCTTAGATGTCCTTTTGTTCAGACATTTTTCCTCAAGTACCAAAACATAAGTAGATAAGCATTTGCTAGATGCCTCTATATATTCCCCTCCCTTCCCATCTAGTCTGTGTACAAAGTCATGCTTTGTGCACAGAATGCACAAAGTATTAAAGGATTTGAGGTTTGTTTGGTCTTCAAAAGTTTTTGCAGTGTTGGAAAAAGTAATTTCTGTCAATGCAGATTGGGAAGGATAATCTTGTTTTCTCCTTTGCATTTTGCACAATGATTTTGTAAGTTGGATTGCAAGACTTCAGATGCACACAGCTGTGTAAATTTGTAAAATCTTTTTTAAAAACTTAATTTAAATTTGATTGAAGTTGTGAAATTGAGAATTTAATTTTGAGCAACTTAAACCGGAATTTGGTCTCTATGAATGCAAAGATGGAGATTTGACATGTTTTCTTTTTTTAAATGTTCCTTTGGAATCAAGGAAATTATAATAATTTCATTCATTCTTTTCCAGATGGGAATGACAGGTAACACTAGTCCCTTTGGGCAGCCTTTCAGTCAAACTGGAGGGCAGCAGATGGGAGCTACAGGAGTGAATCCTCAGTTACCAAACAAGCCAGGCATGGCGAATAGTTTGTCTCCCTTTCCTGCCGACATCAAGAGTACTCCCGTCACCAGTGTGCCAAATATGGTAAGTTGTACTTGCCTGTTTCCCTTATTCATTATGTCGTAATAGTGCATTCTAAATTCTTGGGTGATATGGCTTCTGCAATGTTACTACTTGTCCGTGGTCTTTTAAACATCAGAGTTGCCCCGTGGTTCCTCACTAGCACTACGCAGTGTGTGTAGAAAGTTTGTTCACATTTTTATGCAGTAATTTAACTTTCTAAGCAATCACAGTATTTTGTTATAAGCCTCGCATTACATCCTTTTGTTTTGTGTGGTACATCTAGTTCCAAACCAGATGAAAGTGTCTTCTCTGTAAGTGCTGTTTGTAGGTTTAAATTCCTAAATCAATTAGAATGTGTCGGATACATCATCAACTTCCTGAAACTAAATCGAACCTTCCATAGCCTTTGAATCTAATGTGGTAAACACAGCACATGCTTCTCTGTTTATATTGTGCATGACTTGCAGCTCACAAGCTTATGAGGATAGTTCTTGTTAGGATACCTTGCCCAAGTTTGTAGTATTCTGTTTACTAGACTTTTCTTTACAAAGTGAAATTAAATATTCCCATTTGTCTCAGTATGTCTGCGTATTAATCAAACTGCTTGTGTTGTTTCTATGGAAACTCCAGCTTGTTGCATTTTATATTCTTATACATGATAGCGGTTTCTATAGAAACTTGTAAAACCTTCCATAAGATGCAAATTGCTTGTTTTTTAATTTAACTAGAAAACCGGCTATTTTTTGGCACAAGCAATGCTTGTCCTTCCATCAGTGAGTTTGCTACCTGCCTATCACTAATAAGGATATATGTGAGAGAGAACAGGATGTAATAAACTTCCTCTTTTCTCCTGATTTTAGAGGAGCACTTCCTAATTTTCCTCTAGTTACACTGTGAAATCTTTGCTTAATACCATCTGTCATTTACTGCTTATGATTATGGAAAGAAGCTGGTGACTAGGATTAAGACCGTGTTCAGAATACCACTTGCACTCATGCAGAATAGTTGTAAAAGACAATTTGCTGCATGACTGTTCTAATTTTGTTTTTAAAATACTTTAAGTTTGGATCAGGTGTAAAGCAAATGAATTATTGCCCTGATACTGCAGAGAACCTGCAAATCTGCAAAGTGCTGTATTCATCTCGGGGACTGGATGAGCACCAAATCGGGCTTTGGAATAATTTAAAAGTCAGGTTTTGGGAAGCCTAAATCTCAATGTACTCGCTTACTAGTATAGGATGTAATGGTAGGTATTGTATTCAGGTGGAATAAAAAAGGCATTTGCCATCAAGGCTTGACTAGTGGTGAGGGAGGAGGAAGTAAAAAAACTTTGTTTCCCTTCTCCCATCTTGTCCAAGAGATAGAGGAAAGTAAGGGAAACTTACTTTCCCAGTACAATGAATTGCAGCTTCTTTAAAGTGTCAAAAGTATCAGTTGTCTTCTGAGAGGACTATCAAAACCATCTTTGTTTGTTTCTCAGGTGTCAAAAGCTTTCGTATGTCCAATATATCTTTTTCTCTCTCAAGCCAATATGGAGAGTGATAGCCATTTCAGCCAATAGACATCTGTACTGTCGAGCCAAAAGGTCTCAACCCTGCTTATGGATCATGTGGTGATTTGAGTTTGATTGCAGTCCTGATGGGTGTGGAACTTTCATCTTTAAAAACTGAATTTTCCATCTAAACATTTTTATTGCAAAGCCAAGAATTTAAAAGGAAATGTCAGACTTGTTAAATTTTAACCTTTACTTAGCAGCAGTGGGTAAGGCAGTGTAATTATTTGGTAATAGTACATGCATGGCCATATGCTATTCTTTCCACAGGGACTTTTGCTTTATTCAGTGTACAATATGAACAGTGCCCTCTGAAAGAGCATATAGTCAACATTTTGTTCTATTTTTGCTGCTCAGTGGGTAGCTGTGGGCCTTGTTGACTGTATGTAGTAATATATTTCACTCAGCCAGTCTTTTCCAAACTGTCTTTTCTGTGGGAGTCATCACTGGAGCAGGCATATACTTGGGATTAGTTAATTTTCACGATACCTCTCTGAGATAAAGATGTGTTGCCCCAGTTTTAAACGTGAGGCTGAGAGGCACAAAGAGAGTAAGACTGGAAGAATCTGCTGACTCTGAAGTTGAGGTTTGTAGGCTCTGGCTTACTAAAGCCTTCCTTATTTCATATGTTAAGACATTATCTAAGGGTAAAATAACATTCATGTCGGTTGGATATGTGCTCCCATAATTCATGGAGGTGATGTCTGTGTCTCACATTGGGCAACTAAAATCTGACCCAAATGGCACTTGTGAAAAGTTGCTTGTGACAGAGGCAGCTCCCCAGAGCAGAGTTGCAGTGTTTGAACTATTATGCCATGCTTTCTTGCTGCAATCCCTTCACCATTTGCTGTGTCCCATGATGCTTTAGGACCCTAGAGATGGCAGTTTGATTTAATGTGTTTGTGGAAAAGGGTATAGCATTACGTTACCGTCTATCAAAAATGAACCTGTGGAGGATCAGTTCAGACTCCCATCTACTACAGCAGGCGAAAGACAAACTACATCTTTTTAAAAAGACCTCCAGGGTTTTTTGTGAGATGACTGGAACTGCCTATCTTGCTAAACCAGCCCTCTATACTATTCTTATCTTAAAGGGCCCCAAAAGTACTATTCCATGTGAGAGACAAACCCATGTGAATGAAAACATTGGTTGTATGTGGCGTGTCTGCGGCAGGAAATCAGATTCCAGCATGGTGTTAAACACCTTGGTTACCACTAAGAATATCTAAATAAGAGGAAATAGAAAGGTGCAACCATTGTGTTAAGACGCCTTGGTCCTGAAAAGCAAGACATTTTTTAAATACTCCTTTCAATCTTTTGCCTTTCTCTGTAACCTTATTTGTATGCTGCAAAAGTAAAGCAAAAGATAAGTATGTTTCTTAACCCACATTATTCTAAGCATCATTGTGTGGCACCCCTGTCCCAAACACTAACCAGGAGTTTTCCTACTGCCAGGCATAACCATCATGCTGGCAGTCAGGATAAACCTCTGCTGCAGCAGTGGATTTTTTTTCTTAATCCAAATTCATGCTACCGCTCTCCTAAGAGCAGCACATTCACTCTCTCCCCCCACTGCCTCCCAGATGAAGTGGTTCTCAGAAGTGTTAGTTCATTGCATCTTCCAGCCCTTGTTCCAAGCATGACATTACACTAGACCCTCAGAAGCACATTTGGTTTAATCTCTTTAATTAGGAAAGAAGTAACAAGCCTTATGGTATTAAAATGATTAAAAGGTCAGCATTAAGGTATGAATTTTCAGTGCCAGCCAGATGGATTGATTTTTGTTTGTTTTGTTTTTCTAACTATGGTTCTGAACAACATATTAGCTTTTGTTTTGTATGACGCTTACAGAATACAATCAGTTTTCCTTAGAGAATGGGCAACGTGAAATCTTGAGTGAATGACTTGTTTCCAGAAGAAAGATGTTGCTTCTGATGTTGTTGGAAGTTTTGGTGACACACTGTTAAGATTCAGTGTCGCTTAAATTGTTCGATGCAGAATTGGCAAGGCTCTGCTGCAGTGAGGTCATGCAAAATCTCTGGACTGTGGAAGTGAGCTGTGCTCTGCACTTTGGCACTCAGCACAGTGTGCAGCCTGTATGGGAGCCAGGAGCCACTTTTCAGAGTACCCAGACTCCAGGATGCGCTGACAGTGGGGGGAACCCTGTTAGACTTTTCCATCAAACTTGCTGAAGCTTTGCAGTGTCTGCTGTGCTGCATATTCCAAGGGTGGTGATGGATGGTTTCTTCGTGGACGTACCAGTAAATCTATTATTTCTACATGGGTTAGGAATACAGTGTGTCAAATTTGGCTTCCAGACACCAGCTTGATTTCACAGTTATCTTTATGACCAGCAGATGGAGTTGAGAGAATATTACTTTCTTGAAGCTAAGGAAATTGTTTCTCCTCAGTTCTCTTAACTTAGAAGTGGAACAGCACATCTTCTCTTGCATTTTTTTTCTGATCTCTTATTAAACTACATGTCAAGTATTCTGTTGTGTTCTTCCTTGCTTCTCTGTTTCTTTTTATGTCCTTTGGATTTCTTTTATTAACAGATTTTGGTCAGAACAGAGGAAAACAATGATCTTTAAGACTGGGAGATAAGGATAGGTGTGCCTTTCTGCGGGCCTCCTAGAGAGAGGAAGACAGCTTTTAAACTTGGAGACCAAGTTTAATTAGAACAAGTAGAACTGTAGCTACTTAAAATAGACAACTCATATCTTATTCTAGAGACTAGAAATAAAAGGCTTTATGAAAAACCTCTGTCTGTTGTGTCCTTACAGTGAGGAAGGCTTGAATTCTTAACCTTTCAGTGATTTTTTTTGTTTTGTTTTGTTTCTTTCTTGCAGCAAACTTAGCCTTCTCTTTCACTATGGGAAAGGTCTGTGACTGCCCCAGAGGCATGCTGTGTGTCTGCTTGATGCTCTCATCAGCAGTCTCCCAGTCTCTGGTGGACTTGCTGTTTGCTGTGCTTACCTTCCCTGTGCCTACCCTGACCTGCACGCTTAAAGTTTATCGTTTCCAGACATGCTCACTCCTTCGCTTCCTCAAGAAAATCCCACCTGATTCGAAGTGGAGCAGCAGCCTAGTGAACAGCTGGGAAAAGCTCTTGTCCATATTGCCATTCTTCTAATGTAGAAGATCTTAATAACCCGGAAACAAATTTAACAGATAGTGTTCAGTGCCAAAGGAACTATGCTATTGTGTTGGGGGCAGAGTAGACATCTCTGTTCTCTTGGTGCAAGAGTTCATCCTGGGAACGTGTATTGCTTTGAATGGTGGAACATTTTCATTTTTACACCATACATAAATAATGGTGCCAGGCTGGCAAAAGCAAGCTGAAAAGAGAATCTGCTCTTTCCCAGCACTCTGGTTCATGTTCCACTCTTCCATCTCCTGAATACAAATATGTAAGGTGGAGAATATCTATTGCCATTTCTACTCTCTTCCAGCAGTTGAGGTGAAGTAT